TTCTCCTGCCCCATAATAATATCGAGAGATGTAGAATCTTTTCCGCTTGAGAGAGGTATGTGGCATACTCTCCCCCACTTAAAAGAATTTTCGTGAGATGAAGAAGAAAGAAAAGGTTTGGGATGAGGAAGATTATCGTGAGATGAAGAAGGAAGTGAGAGTCAACAGCCGGCCAGGGTTCTCTTTTGATTCACAAGGTCATCATGACCTAACCCGGTGTTCATGGACTTAGGATTTTCGTCTTGGAGGAAAGCTGAGCCCGCGGCCCGTGTTTTTTTTTTGCCTGAGTTTTTTTTATTATTTATTTTAATCTTGTTTTTCTAATTTCAATTAATTGATATTTTTATTTAAAAATCAAGCTAATTGTTAACCTTTTTTTAAAAAATTGTTATAATTGGTTAATTATGTTAAGAAAATTTCAATTAATTCAATTATAACAACGTTGACCTTAAAATATTGATAAATTCATGTTTTAATTCAATTTCAATTTTAATTTTTTTCATTTATAAACTTTGTGTGGAAATTCAATTGTAATCTTGAGAATTTCAATTTTTAATACATTTAATTAACATTTTAATTTAAAATTCAATTAAGTATTAATAGCCTTGATCTAAAAATTCAGCTTTTATTTTAAATTTGAATTTCATTTATCAATTCCGTTTTGAAATCCAATTTTAATCTTAATCTAAATCGTAATTGTAGCGACGTCAGACCGATATTTCAATCGATTGTGGATCTTTTTTTTTTTTTCTTTTCCATTTTGCTTAATTTGCAACATGTTTTGTTAATTTTTAAGTTACGCTACCAAATCTTGATGTATAATCTCTTTCTGTTTCTTCTTCTTTGATAATATGATTTGCATGCTATATGTCCAAGGGAAGAACTTGTGTGTGACTTGTACAAGTCATACACACTTGCATCTCATTTGCATCATGTTTCCCGCTTGATCCTTGATTCCTAAAGTCGATCAGTTTAGGATTTAGTCCTTACACCTTAAGATAACACCGGTTTCTCTTGAATCTTTCAACTTAGACAAACCTATATCAATTCAATCTCTTATTCTCCCTACAAGAGAATTAGATGTGATTCATCTTGAAGTCGAGATATAATTCTCCTGCCCCATAATAATATCGAGAGATGTAGAATCTTTTCCGCTTGAGAGAGGTATGTGGCATACTCGTCGATGAAATCTGAGTTCTGAGCCCTTCTCTCAATGTGACGCAAAGACCATCTCCTACAAGTTGTGGTGGTTAAGTCGAGTGTTCTCCCTTAAGATGACGAATCATCTTTTCTCCTTTAATCAATCAACAAACATTTTCCCTCTTGGAACTTTGACCAACAGTTAATGGTTCCTCAATCCTTTTTAGGGGAACTACTAATACTCTGATTCCACTCCCGTCAGGATACGTAGGCACAAGATGCGACTTCTTGGCGAGTATACTTAAAAATAAAACAAGAGGTTCCTGTAAGTACTACAAATTCTTAGGATGTTAGTACCTTCCCTAAGTTTAACCAACCCCCGAACCTTAGATTCTCTAGCTTTGCATTTGCATTACATCTTGTGGGTAATTCGATCTTTTTTCCTTTCTTTGGACAAATTAAAGACCGGTGATGAATAATAAATTAAGATTCAAGTTAATCAATATCTTAATATTCAATTCTCACCGCGACAGTATATATATATATATATATATATATATATATATATATATATATATATATATATATATATATATATATATATATATATATATATATATATATATATATATATATATATATATATATATATATATATATATATATATATATATATATATATATATATATATATATATATATATATATATATATATATATATATATATATATATATATATATATATATATATATATATATATATATATATATATATATATATATATATATATATATATATATATATATATATATATATATATATATATATATATATATATATATATATATATATATATATATATATATATATATATATATATATATATATATATATATATATATATATATATATATATATATATATATATATATATATATATATATATATATATATATATATATATATATATATATATATATATATATATATATATATATATATATATATATATATATATATATATATATATATATATATATATATATATATATATATATATAATAGTCTATGTGGCCATACTACTTGAAATTTGAATTGTTTATAAGGGCCGCTTATGTCTTGCAAAAACTACCTTTGCCTACCGTATTTCCACCTCAAGAAATACATGATCAAATTATCCTTGCAAACAAATTTTATTTAATTTTTAAAAAAAATTAATATTAAGATGTTTTTAATATTTAAAATTAGTTAATTTTGAAATATTATAATTTTTCAATAAATAGCTTTATTTATAAAAAGTATATTATACTTTCAATAAATTAACTATTGTTACTTTTTATTTTTAATTTAATATCACATTTTCATTTATTTATTTATTTTATTTACTTTTAAAGTTTTATTTTTATATTATTAAGATAAAACAATTGTTTAATACTTTAGAATGTCTTACTGATTTCTAATCAAACTCATATTTTTAATAAATATTTTTTAATTTGTTTCTCTCTTCTTTTTTTTTTACAAAAGAGGGTATAAAGGTAAAAAACAAAACAAGAAAAAAAATAAAATAAAGACAACTTAACAAGTTTATGTAATGAAGCCCTACACATATCATCGGTTAACATGACCTTTAGATCATTCGACATGAGATTAGAAAAAAAATAAGAAACTCATTATTATTCATAGTAAGGTTATAATTGGCTAAACAATTTGCGCAACAATTTCCTTCTCGCCGAATATGGTCGAACTTGTTATGTCATTTCTTTCGAGTCATTCTTCTAATTCTACGATCTAAGATTGAGAAATTATGATCGTTTCTCGCCTCTTGGTATATGAGACCTATCTGAAGTTTAGAGTCACTCTCGACTACCAAATTTGTAATTCTTTCTTGCCATGCTAGTTTAATCCCATAAAACATTTCCCACATCTCCATCAAAAGAGCATCGCATAAAGCAATTTTTCGCATATAACACCTTAACCAGTTCTCACTCGAGTCCTTGAGCAGACCACCACATCTAGTGACGGGTGTAGTTTGCTTGTGTGCATCATCACAATTGATCTTAACCTAATTACTTTCAGGACAGTACCACTAAACATGTTTGATCTATGCTTCCAATTGTTTGTCCTAATTTTTCACAATGTTGCCATTATTTACCTCCTTCACCAGCTGCATGATTCTTTCCGTAGGGTTACCTGATCGTTGAAAGCCTTCTTCAAAAATTGATTTGTTCTTCCACTTCCATAAGTTCCAACAAGAGATCATAAATATTGACCTTCATTGTTCTCTACATGAATCTGCAACATTTCTTTTATTATTGTAGAAGATCCAATCACTGCAAAAAAGGGAGTAAAATTTAGTCATTTTATTCGATGGAACAAGTCTAATCCAAACTTGTGTTGCGTAAAAGCAATCTCAGAGCACATGAACTAAGTTATCTTTCGTATTCGTACATCAGTTGAAATTAGTATAGGTAGTTGGATTCCACTTGGCCCACGAGAGTTAATCAAAAGTGTCTGATCTAACATAAGCCAAGCGAATGTTTAAAACCAATATGGGCATTTCTACTTCCAAATGATACTTCAATCCAGATTCATCTTAACTTTTTAAAGGCCATGTGTTGATTAGCTATGATTCAACTGTGACAAAATAATGACACATTTTTTAGTATTTTTTTAACCATAACAAATATATTATGAGGTCTTACTTATCCACAATTTTATCTTAGAAAATTTGAGGCCCTGTGTTATAACCCATATTGCACACCCTCAAAGAAGGTTCTGCTTCAATCTATATAAGTTTCAATAACATTTGAATTAGAACTAAGATAATTATAAGCACTACACACAGAAAAATCTTTATCTCTATTATCCCCCATCATAATTTGTCAACAACATCTTCAGGGAAAAGAGGAGGAATAGTTAGAATATAATTAGCCTGCTCAACATTAAAGCAGTTCTGAAGCAACTCAACCTTCCACTTTCCTTCTACATTAACCATGTTTTTCTCCATCATGGTGATATCCAAAATCATGTCGGCTTGAGCCATATTAGAAAAAAAAATGAGGTTGCTCAGTTGGACCTTGGCGATCAAGCCAAAAACTATCTCCTGGAGTACCCAAGATTCCCCCTTTTTGAAACATGTTTCACACCTTTGCCTAAAGTTTCTATAACAGGATATTTTTCAAAAAATTTTGCTTCCTGTCATACATATTTATTGATGAGAATCTGACACCATCAATCATTTAGGATTAGTCAATAAATTACAAAGCATTTTAAAAAAGAAAAGCATTCAAAAGTTGAGTTTTTTATGCCTAAGCCCCATGGTCCTGGGCCATATACTCCATATGTCCTATAATGAGTGATTCAGGTGACCATTTTCTATAAACTTAAAAAAATTAAAAAATAAAAGAGAATAATATTTTTATTAAAGTACCTCTTATTGAATATTAAAAATGATAAAAGTAATATAATTAGATAATAAAATTAAAAAATATGCATTAAAAATTAAAATAAATTATTCATTTTATAATATTTTTACGAGTCATTCATTTAGAAATAGAAAAATAACAAATTTGCCAACTTATGATAAGTTCTTGTGTGTATCTTATAGATGGTATAAATTCTATTAGAAGTTTCTCTGACTCATTACAGATGCTGGATGGAATTTTAACATACTACTTATGGAAATAACAGATAAAAACCTAACATCGATTTCACAATATATTTCTTTCAGTTAAGTTCAAGCATTGATGCTTCTAACAATTGAGGTGCCATTTAACCTACAAAAATACCATGACTAGTAAATTCACAAATAAAAAACATAACGTTTAACCTTCAAAATTTTAAAGAGTTTGCCCTACAATGACTTCCAGGATTGCAAAAGATGTAAGCGACCATACATTAAAGAGTTTGAATTCTGAAGTTCTGCGTTTGAGAGAGGTTAAAGCGCAAAGAATGCTCAAGGTCAGTAGCATAAAGTTTTATCTTTTAGAAAACCGGTTTTATTCTGCTAGACTATATAAATTTTCATGCTTTACCAGCTTCAACGTTTTGCAACTTCGCTACTAGAGATGTGGAGTTTGATGGACACTCCACTTGAGGAACAACAAACATTTCATAACATGACCGGTCAAATTGCTGCTATGGAATCTGAATTTCTTGAGCCTGGCATACTATCAAGTGACAACATCATCTATGTGCGTTTGTTTGTATCGCATTGTCATGGTTTCTTCTATTTTACCTAAAATAAATTGACTTGATTTTTGTTTAGCTGTGATTGACTATATGGGATCTTCTCCTTGCAGGTTGAGAGAGAAGTTAGAAGGCTAGAGCAACTTAAATCTACCAAAATGAAAGAACTTGTACAAAGAAAGAAGTTAGAGTTAGAACAAATATGCAAAAGTACACATTTGACAACACAAACAGTTTTTCCTAGTGGACATCGAATAGAGTCATTTGACTCCGGTAAGATTTTTCATATGATTGTGCCAAAAAATTGTCTCCTTGTTTGTTATTTTGATCAATATGCCATGAACCTCTTGTCCTCATCCAGTTTGAAAATCATTCTGCAGAATCTGCAAACCATGAACACCTGTTGGATCAAATTGATTACCAAATTTCAAAGACAAAAGAAGAAGCTCTTAGTCGGAAAGAAATCCTTGATAAAGTGGAGAAGTGGTTAGCTGCTATTCGAGAAGAAAGCTGGCTTGAGGAATACAACAGGGTGAGGCGCTATAGTTATTGACAATAATGGACATTTCGCTCTAGTATTTTTGTCACGCTTTTTTTCTTTTATTAATCTGAGTATCTAGGATGATAATCGTTATAATGCTGGAAGAGGTGCACATCTTGCCTTGAAACGTGCTGAGAAGGCCCGTGTTTTATTAAGCAAAATTCCAGGTGAGCATCCCTCTCCACACAATATTAGTTCTTCAAATATATTAGTTTCTCAATTGTGTGTGGACTTGGTTCTCACTTGTTCTTTGTTTTTAAACAGGGATGATAGAGGCATTAATTTTAAAAGTTGCGTCATGGGAGAAAGAAAGAGGATTCGAATTTTCGTACGATGGAGTGAGTGTTTTTAGCAAAATCATTTGTTCAAATAAAGTAACATTTTATTTGTTAGGCCTCATGCATTTTTCTGCATATTTTGTTAGATCCGGCTGCTTTCCATGCTTGAAGATTACAATACCTTGAGGCAGGAAAAAGAGAATGAAAGGCAAAGGCAAAAGGTATGATGTTATGTTATTGTAACTAAGTGAATGTACTAGATTGGTCTAGTTTTTTCTCGACATTTATTCACTATGAAACACGGACACTGAAAACACTACACACCGAAACGAAGACACCGGTAATAATTTGAAAAACTGATTAAATTAAACGTAATCGCAAGTGTCGGTGTCGGTTTCGGATACAGACAATGAGACGGACATACCTTTTTTCAGAAGTATCTGTTCTAATTCATCCTCTATTATAACTCAAATGTTTCTGTTTTTCTTTTCTATAAATTTAGGATCAAAAGAGACTAAATGGACAATGGATGGCCGAGTATGAAACACTTTTCGGATCAAAACCCAGCCAATGTAAAAATGGGATAAAGACTCCCAAATGTTCATCAGTTCCAAATACCAGAAAATCTTCTGTTAATCGACCTATGCTTCAGGATCTAAGACAAGCAACTCTTATTCAACAATCTAATAAAAAAGGTACTAACATAACCAACTCTTATTCAACTCCATTCTCATATCTTCAAAATTTTCTTCCAAGGTGACAATTTAAATGCATTGTCAATTGCAACTTATGCAGGAAAAAGCGTCTCTAAGGTTTTTGGTCATTCAACAAAGAAGATTCCACAAAGTACAGAAAAGGTAATTGGAATTCAGTCACCATTATCTAGGAAGCCACTCTCTCCTGTTTCTTCCACAGTCCTATCTAAAGCCAACATAAAAAATTCTCAAGACTCTAGAAAAATACAGAATGCTGCAACAAAACCAATCCTTCAAAAAAGTGAAGAGCTAATAGGAACACCACCCTCCAGGCCAGTTATTACTGGCGATGAAGATAACGGCTCCCCGAAGAATATGGGACTTTCCGTGCCAAGCACTCCTCTGACTGTACCTATGCAGAATATCACTACACCAGACAGTCTTATTTCTAAGACTGCTGCGAAAATTGTTCAACCATTTGAGTATTCGTTTGAGGAGTTGAGAGCTGGTTTTGTCATACATTTAAACTCTTGCTCAATGACTCAATAGTTTGGGGAGGAAGTTCAACCGACACAAAGATTGGCTATAAGTTGCTGACAAAATTACTGATTTGCGATAGCAATTTTTTCTTTTTCTACTGATTTGGCGGTGCTTCACTAAGCACTTGTTTATTTTTGGTTGAGACTTGTTCAAAGTTAAAGTACATGCTTGTTACATTAATTGGATTGAGCAATATCTTGTTTTTGTTCAACTTCTTTTATTCTAATTTTCTTGTTCTACTGTTCATTTTTTAAATAAATTTTCTAGTTTTACCATTAGCACACAACTTCGTTCCCAACTAGAACACTCAAAGCTCTCTTAATTGCTGGGGAAGCTGCACATAGGGATGAATTAAACACAAGTCAGTGTTGCATTGAAGAAGCTGAATGTTTTTAGAAACTTAGAAAATGGTGGTCCCTCAAGTTGGTGAGAAATTGGAAATTGTTTTTGGTGGTCCCTTGAAAATATAAAAAGACATTAAATAACCACTTTGCACTAAGGGATGGTCTGCACCCACATTCATATTACTCAGGTGGGTAATAAGTGAGTTTCATCTAATATAATATATTTAAATCACTTAATTATATTTTCTAAATATCCATACTACTTACTTAAAACTCTAACATGGATCCCACAAAATTACATTATGTTTCAAATTTATATTCAAAACCAATATATTTTATAAAAACAATGGTGTCATTTTAAGATACAATGTCCATTTAAACTACAATAAAAAATCTTTATTATCCATGCTAGTCTGACACCAAATAGTACATATAGGCTTTTACCACATCTTATATTTGTATGTATTTTATGGTAGTTGTCTGTCTATATTGCATTTTTAAATGTCGCTCGAATTTATATTATATTGTATTGTGTTGTATTTGTATGTATACAATAATGTATTATATTTCACCGTATATTAGTGTGTATCTTGTATTTTATGGTATTAGTCTGCAATACACATTTCAGTGTCATTTGTATTTATGTTGTATTCGTATTTGTATGTACGTTGTACTATATTGCATTTTATATGTTATTTACATTGTAATGTTTGTTTTGTAACCATTATTATTTTTAATCTTTTATATTTATGAAAAAAAATGAAGTATTAAATAAAATAATTAAAATGTTTCTGCCGGTTTTGTTACGTAGTTGAATTTAATTCAATATTATTAAAAATATAACACTTGGTCATGCTTACTAAGTTTATATATATATATATATATATATATATATATATATATATATATATATATATATATATATATATATATATATATATATATATATATATATATATATATATATATATATATATATATATATATATATATATATATATATATATATATATATATATAATTTGATAAAAATAAAGATACATAAAAACATGATTTTGACTTGGGAAATGTTTTTTTATTATTTATGATATCTTTGAATTTTTACTAAACAATATAGTTTTTATATTCTTTCATAATATTTTATAACAAAATTTAAGATTTTGAATTCATGAGTAAAATTTTTAAATAATAATGTGTCATTGTTTTGAATATAAAACAATTGTTTGTTATAATGTTTAGTAAACTATTTTAAAAATAAATGGATCAAATTTGTGTATAGTTGATAAAAGTAATTTTATGAACAAAAAAAATATAGTTGATAAAAATGATAAAAGTAATTTTATATACATATACACACACACAAGTTTACATATTCAGAAACCTGTAGGTAATGAATTGTATATTGTTCTTGGATGAAGCTTTTAAGCAAATCTAAGTATTAGTGTTAGTCAGGAGTGTTTACTGAATATTGTATTGAAAGGGTATCTTTCAATTGAACAGTTTGATACAGTCATTGGATGTTACTGTTAGATATCACTGAGGTGATTTAGGAATTGAGATGAGTTTCTCTTATCTAGATGGTGATTTCTTGGTAGAAGTTGCACTAGATGGGGATTAAGTGAGGAGTTGTAAACCGGAGGTTGTTTAGATCTAAATTAATACTACTGATAGTGAATTTATTCTTAGCTTGGTAGCCCCCAGATGTAGGTGTTGTTGTACACCGAACTGGGTCACTATATCTTGGTGTTATTTATCATTCTATTATGAATATTTTAGTTCTTTCTCTTGCTCTAAAATACATGTCTTAACAGATGTTGAAACATCTGTCATTACACCATTATGGCTTGGAGATATCAGATTGTTCTTATCTGCTATGCTTTGTCCTTGTTTAAATTATGCAGAGATCAATGTCTCAACATCTCTTGGGACATATGTGATCTGTATACCAGAATTTCAATTAGTATCAGAGCGGGCATCGTGTTCTGTTTCTGGATGAGTTCTAGGGAAGATATTTTATGGTCTTTTGAATAAGGAAGGAGATTATGTGATCAGACCATACATTACTGTAATGTTCAAGGAGATTGGAAGCTAGAAGGATAGCTTTTTAAATCTGGTCTGACAACTACTAATGGTTGTCTGAGTGGCATGTAAAGATTCTTCCACTACTGCTGATAATGATGCTTGTGTTAAGCATGATGACTTATAAAAATGTTTTGATATCTATTCTGGAATGTTGAAGATGGTGTTAGCCTCTCTAGATGTTCATGTCATCCTAGCTGGGAGCCATATAATGAAGCAAGAATTGTGATGTCTTCCTCTGAAGGATCTTCCTATGTTGGTTGGGAGACGAGGTCAACCAGGTACCATGAAGGGTAATAAGAGGAAAAAAGTTGAGTTGAGGTCTTGTATATCAAATTCATGATCTATAGATTTGGTAACCACTCTATGTCATGTTTATGGTAGCCCAAGATACTTGAGTCCTCTCTCAAGTCCATTCATAAAGGCAATACTAAATGTGTTCAGAAGAGAAGATGGTATTCTAAGGTAGATTTATGCCTTGAAGATTTCTCTCTAGGTTGTTGATTGAGGAAGGAGGGGAGTCTTATGAAATTTTGTGACTGAAGAATACATAATTGGGATTTTAAATCAATTGCTATTTGTAACCACAATAAGTATTTAACTGATTATCCTTTTGATTAGTGATGTTAAAAGTCACACCCAAAGTTGTAACTTCAGGGTGTTGCAAGAACTCAAGAATATTTTCTTGTATCTGATTTATCTTTTAGATTGGATACAGTCGGTATCATCTATGGGGTTCTCAATAGGTCCTTATCTTGCACTTTATGTAACCACGGTTTGTAACTACTGTGATGACTTTAGAACCAATTTCATTGATTTGTTCATGGGAAAAGGAACTGATGTTCAACCAGATGTTGAAACATCACTTCAAAAGAGTGTGTGCAGAACCTTACTGTTCCAAAGAGTGAACTTCTTGGACAATGGAGGAATGTAGCATATGTTCAGGATGATAAACAAATGTGTGTTTATCAATAGTGTTGGGAATCTTCTTCAGATTGGTCTTGAAGAGTCTTTTGGTCTGTAATCTAGGAAGCCTCTATCCAAGATCTTGTTTTGGATAGGTGTGCTGGTGGAAGTTCATATTAACTCATGGTCATCTTGATGAACATTTGTTGGGTCAATTTATTTCTGATCTAAGCGCATAGGGGGGCAAAAGTTAGGACTATGTTTTCAGTTTCCTAGTGGAGGACTGTAAAAACATGTCTATCAGATCTTGTGCATACAGAAGTCAAAGGAAAATGTCTAGGACATTCACCCTGACATCTTGGAGATTCTCTGGTCCTTAAAAGCTGGATCAGTGTGATGTTACAGATAGTGTGTCTATCTTGTGAGATGAGGTGTGAACTCTGATCGGGTGTTGATGATTCTCTTGGAGAATTGTGCTTGAAGCAGATTGCCATCATGTCTCTGAAATCTTATTCTCTTGTGGTATAGAAGTCCTTAAAGGTATGATGGTGTCTTCAAGACTGTATCAGCTAAGGTAGAGTTCTAAAGGATAGAGTACTGAAGGGAAGAAGAGAAGTAGATCTTGCTAAGAAGTATGTTCATGGTGTGATGCTCAATCTATACCTTAGTGCTTATTGTCAGTCATCGTGATATCCGTTTGAGGGAATCTCCTCTTTGGATGCTTAGGATGGGTGCTGACTCTATAATGTTAGACAAGATGTCTGAACATTGTGCTTCTGAGTTGAAGCTTCCTGAGGCTTGTGAGAGTTTATTTCTCTCTGTGGTATTCTTCCTCCTATGATGGTCTATGAGCTGCTACAACTGTGATCTATTGCAATCCTCATGTACTCCTTACAAATGAAAGTGTATGGATTACCATGCAAATAGTTATTCCTATGGATGTTGTTTCCTGAACCAAAGTAGATGTGTCCTATGATTGAGGATGATGTATTGACTAATGTTTGAAACATCGTCTCAGTTGACCATATCTTCAAAAAGGAAAGATGTGTATCCATGGGAGATAATTTGGAGTTCATGGTGTGGAGTTTGTTACTCACCAGTTGGATCAAAAATGGATTATCTATTCATTGTGAAGTATGGTCAAGACTTTGTGGATTCTTATTATCTATATGTAGATGGTTGGTTTTGCTAGAAGTATCTCTAGAAAAGATTGTTTCAGACTGAATCTTGAGAAGGAAGCAGGCTGAGGAAGTATTCTTCTTCATTTGGTGAAGGGGCTTGATGACTTCCAAGTGTGGATGACATCTTGGTTAACCAAGGAGTTAAGAGAATGTGTATGTCTATTTTGGAGGTGTGAACATTTCAGGCTTGATTGGATTTATTCTCAAAGAATAAGGTTGTCTATGGTTGTAAGGTACGAGATGGATTTGTACAGTATGTGGATGCGTTCAGGGGGAGAATGACCAATGGTGTTTTTTGATCTCAATCCAAAAGTTTATTGGTTTGGTACAAGATTTGTGCTCCTATTTTGTTTATATCATCTGAATCACGTGAGATTGTGATGCCAAAATAAATGTCTTAACATCTTGGTGTGTTGATACTTTAGCTTAGTGAGTTCTGATTATGAGCATGACTTGTTAAGGTTTTGAATTATTTCAACTATGTTCATGTTTCTTAGAC